ATTGAATAACTGAATAAATGAATAACTGAAACTTCAGGTATTCAAGTACAATAGTTGAATAACTGAAGTAATAGTTGAATAACTGAATTCAACTTTCGAGTTTGACACTACTGTATTCTAAAAAGAATGATATTAAATAGAGAACATCTATGTATAATTCTACCATCATCAAAATATCATCGATGTGAACCTAACACGAACAAACGATATATTAGGTAAAAAATTTTTTTACTAAATATGTCCTGTCTATGCAAACTACACTATTCGACTCATAATTAACATATCGTTTGTTCGTGTTAGCTTCACACCGATATATATTAATGAGTTAATTGATGATCTAAATCCGTAATAAAGTAACGAAATTAAAAAATTACATCAATATTTTCTGTTCGTAAAGCTTTATTCAATAATTTATAGAGGAAACAGTCTCGAGTATACCAATATATTGCTTGATGTGGTTTATATTTATACGTTTCCCATAATAATAGACGTGTATCTTTTAAAATTCTTCTATCATAGTTGATTCATTTGGTTTATTTTTTATAATACGTTGAACATTCATTTCATATATCAATTCTTGCTTTTTTCATATCAGATTTTTGTAAATGTGTTCAAATATCCATTTATACTTGATAATACATAAATGAACCATTTTGATTCATCAACTGACCAGCTGATCGTTGTGTTTGTTGATCTAATTCATTAATATTTTGTAAATTGAAAATACTCATTGGTATTAAATTATGAGAACGATGTTTTACTTTTGTAAGCTGGCTATCATCTCCCCAGAACGTTGTATTGATCGATATACAACAAAGAGATTAAATCTGATCCATAAAAGCTAAACGGTTCTTGTGAATGTTTCATTTAGTTTAAACTATATTACAGACTCACCCAAACGAAAACTTATAAGGATCATGTTTCATCCAGATCGGCTGGATGTCAAAAACTTTTAGTCCTACGCAATAGTCTCAACGACGATATATGGATATTGATGACCAAGAACCTCTACTTATATGATTATTTCCTATTCGGCTTTTAAAGATTAAACAAAATAAAAGAAGTCATAATCAAACTGTGTTTATAATACGTTATCTATGAGTAAGAACGATGTGCAGTCAATGTGAGTATTTCTAATGCTTTACAACGATATTCGGATCATTACATTTATTCTTTTCGTTCTCCACACTCCTACCCTTACTCTCATGCCTCATATTTTTATTAAATGATGAAATGACAGGTTTTCGGCATAGTCGACAAAACTTTCGAAATATATTCCTGATTTTGTTTACGAGTGTTTTTTTCGTCACGTAGTATTACACAATTCATTCACATGCGTTCTTCGTTCTGCATTACTCATTTTTCATGACATTCTGTAGACAAATCGAAAATTTATCTTTTTCGGATCATGATTTGATTTGCTAATATAAACTATTTGATTTTCTCTGATTTTGTTTTATTTCAATATGTTCGTTGTTGATCGAAATATCAGATTACGAAACGTACTCTCGTCTATATTAAATTTCAATCTTTGACTTTCAATTGCGTATTCAAAGGAACTCTTCTCAATCATCTTATAAATGTATCTATTTTGAAAGGTAAAGTTCACCTTATACTTCTGCAACGTTATTGCATTATATCATTCGCACGTGATACCATACTCATTGATCAACCCTTTAGATATAAAATACTTCCTCGTTATCAAAAAATCCCTCATTTTCTATATTGTATATATGTACTTCCTCGTTTTACTCTTTCTCTCTCTCAGATTCTAAAAACGATACGAACTGCAATTAGTCAATGTCTACAAGTGTCGTTTACGGTTTTTATTTAAAAATCTCGGTTTTATAGTTTCAGATAATATTTCCTATAACTATTTGGTATGTTTCGTCATGTGTACAATCGTGTTCGTTTCAACTATTTAGCTGCAACCGTCGACCAGCAACTATTATACTATGGTAAGACCTGTTGTATAGCTATCGGTGTTGGTGTGCAAAACTTCTGTTATGTCATTGAGAAACTGATTAATTCGGAACGCCGTTCGTTGATAGCGTTCTGTTGCGAATATATGAGTGACGTGCTAAAAAAGTACTAAATTAATCACAAGAATCTGATGTCTAGTCAAGAATTGACGGAATCAAATTTTTGCAACACTTTGATAATACAAAACAATGACATAATCATGTTTCGGATGAAAAATATTTCCAATACGATATCTTTTGAAGAGTTCTATGTTTACACTTTGATTTGTTTTTGCAATTTTAGGTGGAACCTATGTCGGTATACCACCGTCACTGGGACTATCAACAGTTTCTGTTGATCAAATACGAAAGTCTGAATCGATGAGAGAACAACTTCGTCAAAATATGCAAAAATATTTCGAATCTTTTGTTAGGAGAGAAGGGTTTATCGAATGGCTTTCGTTAGCACATCCACATCGAATTAATATCCATCTCGATAACAATGATTATTTGCATTTATCCTTCGATCCAGAATTAGTTGTTTCTGATGCACAAATATTTGATACCCTACGACATTATTCCAAAAATCCGAACAATGACTCTTCAAAATTCATGGAATCAGAAGCAGACAGTGTCCATCCAACGCAGGGATCAGATAACATCATGTCAGGAGTTTTTTTGCAAAAGGATTGCCTTCAAGATCAAATATCTGACTTGCTAGCGAAGCAAATACTTGGAAAAGAAAGTGTTTATTTAACTCAAAGTGGATATGTGGCTAATTATGGTCTACTTTAAGCGTTGGTTATCCCTGCGAAGACCCACATCTATATTGATACTGCTGCTCATGAGTCACTTTGGCAAGGCGCTAGTCGTGGTATTATTCACAAAATTAAACATAATTCTTTAGATGATCTAGAAGAAAATCTTCGCAAATTTGGAAGTGGAATTATTGTCGTTGACTCTCTTTACTCAGGAAAAGGTTCTATCGCTGA